TTTCTCTTTTATGTTTTTTTTCAATAAGATGTTTTCTCTTTTATGTTAAGCAATAAAAAAATTCAAAAATCACTTTTCAAGCTTGAGCAGAAGCTGAAGCAAATAGGTTGAACTGGGAATAGATCCATCACAATCATTAAAAAGCATAAGTGGAACAATAATAGAGAACCGAAGACGACATATTTGTTTAAAAGAGAAAAGATAGAGAAAGAGGGGAAATAAACAACGGAAGACATGGAATGCATGTAACATACATCCTTGTCCCTCTGTACTTTATAAAGGAAGTAAGAATGTTAGGCCACAAAAGGGGGAAATACAAGCTGAAGTAAATATCGTATATAACAGGAGCACATACCATTTTAGATGAACAATCTTAAATACTTTATAGTTCTAAATCTAAAGCACCACTTTTTTATAATCCTACATCAATAATTGACTAGATAAAAAAAGGTTCTTATCTAAATGTAATCTTTCGGTCTAAGAAAATTCGTTACTATAAAAGAAACAAAGAAGGAAGTTATCCAAACAAATCCCTGAAAATAAAAGAATCCATTGCTCTCAGCAATACACAGTTGAGTGTGGCCACCAAAGACGAAAATGAAGACTTCTTAAACAGAAGATGAAGTAGCTGAACAGAATAAAGCACCAAACCAAAGTATCAACATCCATACTGATACCTCAAACAAATTTCAGCATATGACCTCAAAATTATTATTATCAACAGGCACTGCATGGTTCACCTTTGTCTATAAGTATGCAGATTTTGAGTCCGACATTCACAGGATTGTGTCTGTAGTGGAATATTTCTGACTTTCCTTGATCTTTCCCAGGATTCTGTAAAACATAAGTCACGATTGTGCCCTTTTCAAAAAAAAAAGGTTTATATGCAGAAACACAGGATTGCATTTGCTAGAACGTATCGTTTTGCACTGTACAACAAATGACAAATCAACAAAGGATGGGAAGGCAACCCTTAGTACTTTTCTCCCTCTTCTTTTTCTTTTTCACTTTTATTGGAACTTCAGTATAACACTTCTAGCTAATCTACAAGACGAAGAAGCCGTATAATTTTTATACGTAACAAGCAGAACAGAAGACTAAGCATGACTAACAAATCATTCAAACATTTCCTTATATTTATTTCCCTTAAAGGATTACAAATTTGACCACGACGTATTAATTAAAACACCCAAATACTAGAAAACAAAGCTAGAAACCCAAGATTCTTAAAAGAAAAATGAAGGGGAAAATGATTACATGCCCAGCCTTTATTCTGAAAAATAAAGATGGAATTTCAATAAACATTATGATTAGTCTATACCTATTCCGTACAATGCTGAAAATAAAGTTAGCAAATCTAGACAACAAGAGATGTGGGAAAAAAAATACCAACAAAACAATAGCAAAACTAGGCAACCCATAAACCCTGCATCACGAGTGTCACTTTTACTTAACTTTCTCGGAGAACTTAAACAATTTTGCCAGAACCCATTAACCATTAACGAAAGCTTGGTTCAAGAGAGCCTATGAGAGAGGGACGAATGGGGGATGAACTAACACACATTCAAGAAGATGGGAACCGAAAAAGAAATAGCGGTACGCACCTCTGATATAACGCCAGTCATAGGGCTTGAGCTTAATATTGGAGTAGGCGAAACTCGAAATTGTGAAGGAATTATACGCAGCCTGCTGATCGTAGGATGAACAATAAACCAGAAAACACGATGTCAACAGACGAAACACCAAAGCAGATAGAACAAGAGAAGAACCCATCCTAGGATTCATCTAAAACCTTGAATCTCTTTGCAGGATACGGAGAGAATTTCAGTACGATTTATGAATAATTCTCCAGCAATAGAAACGAAAAGACTAGTACTACTACTACGGACTACTCCGATACTGACAGAGGAAGAAAGCCCGGAAGCTCAAACTAATGGAGCCCGAAAAATAAATGCAAGTAGTAGAGACTAGAGAGTAAAGACCACTCCGATACGACAGTGACTATTATGTATAATCCTAGTACGGATTGGTCGTGCGCATGACGATAAAAGCTGTAATTTTCGTCATTATTTTACGCTCTGTGCATATTTTAAAATTATCCATTGCCGAAATAAATAAGCTTTTTTTTGTTGTGTTAGGACTTTGGGAGGGTATCAACGGGTCCGGTTTGATATGGATCCGGCCTAATACGATCCGATGCAAAGTCACTCCGAACCGATTGAATGGGAAATTGTCTAAAACTGACTTTTCAGCATTTTTCTTAAATGTTAAATAGACTAATCAATCTTGGTAGATTACTATTTTACTTTTGTTTTATTGTAAATGGAAAATAAAGCAAAACTTTGATAACAGACAATAAAAACTTTATGCCCATTTTACATATTTAAGTAAAAAGGGAATTTCAAATAAAAAAATGCTTTGGATTCAAATCAAATTCATTGACGCCCCATATCAGCTGTCAGATGTCAGTTAGAACAAAAGTATATTGAATAAAAATTAAGTTGACATAAAAATATGTTTAACAAAGGTGGCATGCCAATCTGGGGTAGTTTGGTCATAAAAATCGCATTTATGCTGATGAACTTAATGGTGCTTCAGTGGATGGTGAATTTTGGAAAATAAAAAGTCACTGACATAGGGTTCTTTAGATGTTTTGAAAAGTTATGGTTAGTTAAAGAAAAATGTTGAAAAGTCATGGTGAGTTTTAGACAATTTCCCTTTGAATTTTGACTAGTAAGAGTAGTAGGTTAGCTTTAACTCAACTATGTGCTATGTTGACCAAACCATGAGTTATATTTTTAAAATCAGTGAATCTAAATTGACCGGAAAGCAATTGGTTAATCAGTTGACTGGTTCTGTTTTTTGGTTTCTCGATTTTTTGTATTTTCAATATATATAATAAAAGATATATAAATATATAATATATTATATTAATACTTTATAATATATATGTATATTATATTATAAATACTACAAATATATGATTTATTTAATATAATATAACATAAATAGACAATTAAAAATATAATATACATAATGCATATATATATATAGAGAGAGAGAGAGATAATATAATGTATACTAGCAGGGACCTATGCAATGCACGAGATTTATTAAGGAAAAGTGAAACAATGGAAACTGATAATTATATTAATAATTTTAGCAATCTTTATTTTAGTAATTTGTTACAAAAAATAATTTAGTAATTTAGACTAATTATATTAATAATTTTTAACAAAAATAAAAAATTACTATTGATTACTTAATAAATAATTATTTTTTCATATTATCCGTTAGTGTTCTATTTTTTTTTTGATTTATTAATGGTTAAATGCTATAATTAAATTAATTTATAGATTAACTTTTTTAGTCATAATTAAATTAATCTAAGCCCAATCTCATGGTTTAAGACTTTAAGTTGGGCTTCGGTTGATCCTTAACCTGACCCAACCACCTAAGTTGCACCCCCTAAGAGTAATGCCAAATTCATAATTAGATTGAACCAAAACTAAGCACAACCCATGCATGCATTTTTTGCATTTTTAACTATTTTTAAATAAAAATTATTAATATCAAACCCGAAGGAGCTATGGGGGGTGAGCTACTCCAATTGTGTAGCATAATGAACCAAAAACATAAAAGATCTCAGCCAGATATTGATAGTGTATTAACAATTTTATAGGTTGTGAAGCCCAACCCTTCCCACACCCTAAGCATAATAATATTTGTTTGTGTTTGAGATAGGGACATCCTCACCCGTGTTAATTATAAAACTATGGTAGCAGAGCAGGTTCGGGGCAAGGACCATACTCCTCGTCTCTAATCCTGACTTTGATCTAATCTTTGTCCCTGACCCCAGTCTTCGTTAGGGATCAATAAGACCCTTCATCCCCAATTCCTAACGAAGACCGGTTCTTTGTTAGGAACTTGAATCCCTGAAAATTTTAAATTAAAATATTTTTATAAAATATATATACTTAAAATAAGGGAATTTTTTAAATATAAAAATATTTTAAATATATTTTGATATAAAAAATATCATAATAGTATTATATATTATATATATAATCAGGTGTGAACTCTGAGAAGCATATGGTAAGCACAAAGAGATGGAGTCGCCACCCATTTTTAGAGGAAATGGGCCCTCATTTTCAGATTTGAGAAAATCAATTTAAGTCTTTGATAATGACTCCGTTCTTCATGGAAAAGGCACACAATCAAGAGGTTTCATGTCTCAAAGATTGGGAGAGGGAAGGTATTAGACACCACTCTCTCCAAGCTGTTGTAGCAGTCTAATACGGGAGTTGTTCAAGCTCAATTTCTTTCAGAAAACCGATAAACATAATTGCCAAAATTTATGAAATATGGAGAAATGTGCTCTCAGCTTCTTCTGAGGCCGATTTTGAGGTGATGTTATCGAGTCTTATGAACTAATTTCCCTAAGACCCCCATCTCTCTGCCTCTATACTCAGTCTAGAAGAAGTCAAGAACAATGCTTCTCCAAGGTTTTAGAACTTTGAGCAACTCAGAAAAACTAAAAAGGACTTACCTTTCGTATGTACCTTGTCAATAGTTTTTAGCTGCTAGGGAAGAGATAGAATGAACTTTAAATGGGTTTTTGAGTTAGGGAGTGCTTCTAGTTGCAACAACTTCCACTTGAAAATGGAAGATGCGAGTTTAGAATTTGAAGTTCAGAGTACCTCCAAATTTCGGATGAACAAGAGGCAATATATGGGATAAGAAAAAGCTCTTTTTCTCTCTTTATCTCTCTTTCTCTCTTTGAAAGCCTCTCTCCCTTAGGTTTCCTTCCTCTTCTTCCCTTTTGAGCTCGAATTAGATCAGTATTTATAGAAAATGGGAGAGGGGCTCAGGTCTAAATTCGTTCACACTATAGTAAAATTGATTTCTAGCAACAGTTTTGAAGGTAACTAAACGTTGATTGCTGCTAAAAATAATAGTTTATATCCGTAGTTGTTTAAAATTGCCGCTATAAACCACATCGACTGCCTGGTGCAAATTCGGGTTTTTCCCTCATTCTATTTCCCCTTTCTCTCATTCTATTCCTGCCTTCTTTCCACCCCCCCCCCGGCTAAAATCTACCGATTAATCTTTTTTTCTTTATCTACAAAAATGACGTCGAAGCAGAATTACAGGTTTTTCTTTTGTTTTCGCTGAAGGTTTAAGCAACCAATAGCTGAAGCTCCAAAGGAGATTAAGGACCTGTTCAACGCAAACTCGGAAAATGGTAGCATGTTCGCAGAGAACCTCCGTAATTTCCTAATTGAGATTCCAGGAGAGAAAAATGCAACGATGGAGGATGTGCAAAACATCATTGATAGTCTGAGAAAGCTCAAGCATCTTAATTTCTTCCATTAGATGGCCATCCACCTCCGATCTGAGTTTGTTTTGAGTTGTCATTTATGTGTTGTTTATATTTGGACGTATTTTAAATATATACATATTTGAGTGTGTGCACCTGGAGGAACACAATCAGAGGGGTCCAAATGCCCTCTAGGTGTAAAACCTAGATGAGAGAACCAGGAAATGTTGAACATTCATTGATGATTGCATAAAAAATACTATAATTTTTGGCATAATGCATCAGATTTGAAATTAAAATTGTTCATAGAAATCTACATGAATTAATTTAGTTATTGGATAGAATTAATTTTGCTGCAAGCATGATGTGTATGAAACTTAAGAAAGAGCTGGTGAACCTTACGAAATAGAATAACTTGCTATTATACCAACTGATGTAGAACAACTTGATTTGACACATAATTTATGTAAGGTTCACTGCTCCTATACAAATGATGTGCAATCACTTGCTCTAATGCCAAATGATGTATGGGATTGACTATTCTGATACCAGACTAATGTAGGATGACTATGACCTAGAAGTGACTAGGAAGGTATTGATTAGCTAGAATAGTGTTTATATATGATTTCAGAAATAAAGGTATAGATTGGTTAGGTTATGAAGATCCTCGGGGCTTAATTGAAAGAATTTCAAGTTTGTCCCACAACTATAAAACTTTAAATTGAAGGACATAGGCTCTGATTTCAAATGGTGTATAGGACTGACCGTTCTATAGAAGATAGGCTTTCAATCATATTTTTATTTGTTTTTGACATGTGGCAAGATGAAACCAACCTTTGTTGGGTTCATGTTAGAAACTGTCAAGTGCTGGAAAATCCACATATTCTTTTTATTCAATTAAGCTAGTGAGAGAATGTGGACTTGTAAGCTTGGGCCTACATATATAGACATTGTAGGGATGGAGGTTGGGTTCCCTGATTAAAAAAAAAAAAAAATCACCTACATAGGGTTCAGGTTAGGGTTCGGGCCCATTGGAAATTTAACAAATTCCTAATCCCAACTCAACCCAAGTTGCAGCCCTAACTTTAAGGCTTGCAAACATGATTGCATCAAATTCTCTTCTCTTCTAATTCTAACACATGTATATGCTCTTATGGATAACTCATCATATGGTAAGAACCTGTCAAAGAAGAAACAGTGACCACTAGAAACAATTTAGGAAGAAATAGATGTTCATTCAAGATTTCCTATTCGGTAAAACTTTTTCTTTGATTTGGGGTGGTTTTCATGGGTTTTGTGCATCCAATGGGAGTTTGGGGTGTGTCTGTCATGGAAGTCTCGTATTTGGGGCTGTCAGTGGCAAAAAAATGTAAATTTGATGAACTTTTAAGTGCTATTATAACATTATTTTGTTTTAAATAGGAATATCTTGGGGTTTTTGGGTTTATTAGGCTCTATTTCATTGGTCCAATTGCTCTAATGAGTCAAGAATGGATCTGGCATCAGCCATCACCCTTTTGAGGCTTCAGGTTGGGACGGATGACATGACAATTTAATCTGGTATGTCAAAATGATATCTTTCTAATTTAGCGGTCAAATGGATAAATTTGGTCATGAAATTTGAAGTGCTGGGGTTTCTAGGTCTCTAAACATAGTGGTGAGGTCTGATCGGACAAATATGGTCAGGATGATTGAGATATATGGCTAACAAGTTCGGATAAACAAGATTTGCTGAAATAAAATATTTTTTTGATGAAAGGTCAAACAAGGGAATTTTGGGATGAAATTTGGTGGGTAGGCATTTTTTATCATCCCGAATCTAGTGGAAGTGAAGGATCTTTGATCAGCGATGTAAATTAACTGATTTAGTTCAGATCGTGGTATTAGCTTATGGTTTTCCAATCAACGAGAGGATTCGATATGGAATCTTACTTTTTCAACCGTCAAATGGAGGTGTTTGGTCATGAAATTTAATGTGATGTGGTTTTTTGGGTCTCTAAACACAGTGATAAGGTCTGATTGGCCATATGAAGTTGAAGTGATGGATAGTAAACTCTAATTAATTAGATTTGTTAAAATAGGATATAGGCTTGATGGGGGGTCAAACGGGGAATCTTGAGCTACAATTTGTTAGGTAGGCATGGATTAGGGTTAGGAGTCAAGTGGATGGTCTTGATATGAGAAAGATATGGTCAATCTTGGTAGTCGTTCAAGGCCATCGGAATGGGATCTTGAAGTTTTTGTGGTTGGTTGTCATAAATTCATGTTGGGATTCACTAGTTGATTGTTTCCCATTGATCTTGAGGTGATGGATATATTGGGTTTGATTTTGTAGGAGTTGAAATTTGAATATCGCATAGATCGGGGCCGTTAGAAAGGGAGTTAACGTGATGAATGATGGATCTTTGCAATTTAGTCATGAAAACTAATGTGTAACTAAGTCCCTAGTTAGTTGATATTGATCTCAAGGTTCTTGTTTTGTCCCGTGGATTGTGTCAAATGAGGGTATTTCGGGTTTTGGAAAGTCTCAAGTTAATTTAGTCGTGCTTCCAAGTTTCTGGGGTCTAAGAGGAGGGTAGGAAGAGGTAGGGTGAAGAAATCGAGCAAAAATTGGGTGTTGACAACTGCCCCTCTTTGTTGGAGATAGCAAGTTGTTGAACAACAAAGAAAAAGAAGCACATGAAGATTTTTGTGAGGGCCAAGAGTTTGGAGGAGATTTCGCTGCTGGAATTTTAGTCAATGTTGTAATGTAGTGCAAAACCTTTGCTTGGAAGGTGTTGTACCATCCCAAGTCTTGGAAGGCAATTGCAATTGTCAAACAAACATGAGAAAAAACATAGTGGTGCCATCCAAAAAATAGCTAACATTAGTTGATGTTTGATTTTTGATTAATGCATGCATTGGTGATTGATGATTCGAAATATTTGATAGGTTATGGTATTGGCTAAAGCTTACTAAGTTTTTTTCTTTTTTTTTTTATGGATTTCAATTTTGATAGTTTATTTAATGGTGCTCATAGGTTGGGTTTGATTTTTTTTTTATGTTTTGAAGTTTGTGATTTGATGAAATCTTATAAACTTTGATTTGAAAATTTGTTGAGTTTTTATGGATTTAGGTTTTTGATAATTGATGGTGAAGCTTGAATTTGCTATTTGATTCAAATGTTTGATAGAATTTTACTAAGCTAATGTGGATTGTGAGTTTTGATTTGAATTTTTTATAGGTTTTGATTTTGATTTAAAATTTTGATGGATTTTTAATTTTCACAGGTTTTGATTTTTAGTTATTTGATTTGAATATTTGAATTTTCGCAGATTTTAGTTATTTGGCTTAAATGGACTTTGGCTTTTGACTTTAATTTTTATGGGTTTGATTTTTTAAATTGATTATTTGATTTGGATATTGATGGATTTTGGATTTTGATTTGAATTTTTATGGATTTTGATGAGTTATTTGATTTATGGATTTTGATTTTTTATCTAAGTTTTTACAGGTTTTAATTTTTGAGAATATTTTATGGAAGTTTATTATGGATTTTGATTTTTGTTTTCAGTTTTTTATGGATTTTGATACTTAATGGAAGTTTACTAATTTAATATGGATTTTGATTTTTTTGATTTGGGTTTTTACGGGTTTTGAATTTTGAAATTAATTATTTGACTTAAGTATTTGATGGAAGTTTACTAATTGAATATGGATTTTGAATTTTTTTATTTGAGATTTTATGGGTTTTGATTTTTGAAAATATTTGATGAAAGTTTAATATGGATTTTGATTTTTGTTTTTGGGTTTTTATGAGTTTTGATTTTTGAAACTAGCTATTTAATTTAAACATTTGATGGAAGTTTGATAATTTAATATGGATTTTGATTTTTTTATTTGAGTTTTTATGAGTTTTGATTTCTGAAATTAACTATTTGATTTAAATATTTGATGGAGGTTTACTAATTGAATATGGATTTTGAGTTTCTGTGGATTTTGATTTTTTATGTTTGATGTTGAAATAATTTTAGGAAACCATTTTGAAAACTTAACAAAGGTCATGTGATTGCTATAGTGCATGTTATCATTCTGGTAGGTAATAAGAGCCCTTTAGATAGGAGTTACTTGCGCATTAAAACTTTGATAATTCGGGCGACAAAAATTGTGTGGTGCAAAGTGTACGATGTTAAAGTAAGCTTAATGCCCCCAGTAACGGTTTGGATTTCATAAGGGTGATTTGAGGATAAGGTGGACTGGTCACAACTTATCAAGCTTTGTGCTTTCTGGACATACTGCCATGCATTAGGGAAAGAAGATTTTTGAACTCTACAATTGATGGTCATACTGAAAGTTTTTTTTTCCTTGAGTGATTTTCCTAAAGGCACCTCACATGGGATTTTTCTTTTCTTTTTTCTTTTTTTTTTATTATTCCAAGTGAATGCTTTTGATTTATTCCAAGATTTTGCACAAAGGCAAGCCACACAAAGTGAAATATTCCAATATCACATCAAAATCTCTCGATGGGCATTTGATTTTTCCTAAAGGTGGATCTAATGAAGCAAGAGATTTTGATGGATATTTGATTATGCCTGAAGGCGAATCGCACAAAGTGAGAGATTTCGATGAATTTTGGTGAGTATTCAATTATGCCCATAGGTAGATCGCACAAAGCGAAAGATTTTGATGAATTTCAATGGGTATTCGATCCGGAGGCGGATCACATGAAGTGAGAGATTTCCATGGGTATTTGATTATGAGAGATTCTGATGGATATTTGATTATGCCCAAAGGCGGATCGCACGAAGTGAGAGATTTCGATGAATTTCGTTCGTTATTTGATTATGCCCATAGGCAGATCGCACAAAGCGAGAGATTTTGATGGGTATTTGATTATGGAAGATTTCGATAAATTTTGATGGGTATTCGATTATGAGAGGTTTTGATGAATTTCGATGGGTATTCGATTATGAGAGATTTTGATGAACTTCGATGGGTATTTGATTATGCCCGAAGGCGGATTGCATGAAGCGAGAGATTTTGATGGGTATTCGATTATGAGAGATTTAGATGAATTTCTATGGGTATACGATTATGAGAAATTTCAATGAATTTTGATGGGTATTCGATTATGAGAGATTTCAATGAATTTCTATGGGTATTCGGTTATGAGAGATTTTGATGGGTATTCTATTATGCTCGAAGGTGGATTGCACGAAGCGAGAGATTTCGATGAATTTCGATGAACATTCGATTATGCTTGTAAGTTTGATGAATTTCAATGGACATTTGATTATGCTCGTAAGTTTGATGAATTTCGATGGGTATTCAATTTTGTCCAAAAGCGGATCGCACGAAGGGAGAAATTTTGATGAAATTTAGATGGATTTTATAAAATTTGAATGATTTAGATTAAAGAAAGTTGGATGATTAATGACTTTTGGATTTGGACAACTTAGATGAAAGCAACTTGCCCAAGAGGATTATGAAAAAGATTTTTAGGTGACTTTGGATTTGGATATATGATGCAAAAAACTCCGAATTAGGTGCATGCCAAAATTTTGGATTTGATGAAAGATTTTTTGGATAATGAAGGAGATTTGTATGAAAATTCTTGGATGGTTGGGATGGAAGACTTTTGAATGATTTTAGATTTTTTTGAAAAACCTTTGGATGATTTGAAAACAGATTTTTGGATGCTTTAAAAGATGCGATGACGCGAGACAATATTAATTTTTTCGCCACAAGGGACTTTGCAAGGGACTTTAATGCTTTAAAAGATGCGTTAAGTTGCGAAACATTGTTACACTGCCACGATGGGCTTTAGTGTCATGAAGGGCTTTGATGTCGTAACGGACTTTAATGCTAGGGGTGATCATTTCAACCTGACCCAGCCAAGCCCGGCTCGAAAAATCCGAGCTTGGGCCTAGGCTTTTTTGTTAAGGCCTAGCCTAGGCCTGCAAAATTTAGGGCTGGGCTTGGGTATATATATACATATATATTATTAAATAGAGATTTTAAGGAAATTAAAGACACTATCATGTTATCCTAGGGTCCTAGTATCCTAGATCTTACCAAATTCCTAGGGTCCTAGACTCCTAGTCTCCAAAAAGTTACCAAATTTCTAATTTAGTATTTATTTACTAAAATTACTAAACCCTAATCAAGTAACCTCCCCATTCTCGGATCTCAACTCAAAACCCACTTACATTGCTTGAAAAGTGGACGCGTACTGCAAGCCATTAGACCATCACTCCATCGTCATCACTCTTCAGTCTTTCACATAATTGAAAAGTGCCGCTTACTGCAAGAGACCAAGGGCAAACCATCTTCAGTTCTTCATCTATCAAAAAAAGACTAAAAGAGTGCAATACTTTTTGCACAATCTTCTTGCAAGACACCATTCAGCAAGGTATGTTTTCAGAATTTCAAAATTCTTTTTTAATCTATTATGTTGGAACTGCATGCCTATTAATGCTGAGATAGCAAGGGACGTTTGAAAACTTCAGATTTTTTTTTTAATCTATTATGTTGGAAAATTGCTTGCCTATTAATGTTGAGACAGTAAGGAACGTTTGAAAACTTTAGATTTCTTTTTTTAATCCATTGTGTTAGAAAAGTATTACATGCCTATTAATGCTGAGTTTCTTTTTTTTAATCTATTATGTTGGTTTTGGCTTTCAATAACTGAGACAAAAACAAAAAAAGTAATAAAAAACTTAAAAAAGATATGTCAATGTAAATCTCACCAATGCGTCAATGTTAATTAAAACAATAAGTGAATAAACTATGCTTTTTTCTTTTGTACTTAATAAAAGATTTAAAAAGATACGACAATGGGAACCAAACTAATTTTGGTTTTGAATGGTTTGGAAAAATTAAAAATAAGTTGTGGACATTCTTTTTTTACTCAAATTTCTTAACAATAATTTGGAAATTTCCAAATAATTTTACAAAACACTAAAAATCTAAAATTATATAATGTTAACTAGTGGCCTACGAAAACTCTAGAGTCTAGACTTCCTTATCACCAAACGTCTTTGTCACATGAATGAGTCTTCATTTAGGGTGTCAATGGTATTCGAAAATCTGATTTTGAATTGAGATTCGATATAATCGAATCGAATTCGGATAATTCAAATATCTAATCGGCTGAATTCGGATATCCCATTCATACCAAATAGCAAATCGAATTCGAATTTGGATGTGACCTGATTCGATTCGATGAATATCCAAATTCGACTGATTATTTAATTCTTATATATAATATATAAAAATTTTAAATGTTTTATATAATTTATATATATAATAATTAAATTATATAAATAATTTATATATTTATATACTTTATATAAATAAAATATTTATTTTATATATTTATTAATTACCTAAAATAATTAATTAGTCAAGTTCGAATCAAATTGAATATTTGAATATTTAATCGGATTCTAATTCAAATATTAATTTTCAACATCTGTTGGATATCAAATTTTTTAATTGGATTCGAATTTGAAGTTTTTCATGTTTTATGTTTTTTTTTTTTAACTATAGTGATTATGATGCATTTTTTATTCTCATATTAATTATAATTTATTTGCATATAGTTATACCAATGGCCAATCAAAACAATGGTGACAATATTAATCCTGCTATTGATGATGTGGATATGGATGTTGATGCAATTACTGATAGAACATAGAAAAGAAGTAATCAATTGTTTGGAAAGAATTTGAAAAAATCAAACAATGACAAGTTCTAAGGAAATGGCTAGATGTAAGGCTTGTAATCTAGTCATTTCAGTTGATTATTATAAAAGTGAGAGTAGTCATATGCATAGGCATTTGAAGTTATGCAATAAACACAAAAATCAAGATGTAAAACAAATGATGCTTGCATCTCAAGGCTCAAAGAAGTTAATCAAATTTTATAATTGATCCGGATTTGCAGCGAAAAGTAATTAGTAATATGTTGGTGATGATGAAGCTACCATTTAGTTTTGTTGATTCACCATATTTTAAATTAACTATGCAAACTGCTCGCCTAGAGTTGAAAGTGTCATTTAGACATACCATCAAGTGAGATGCCATGGATCAATACCACATAGAAAAGAAGAATTTGCATGATTTGTTATAATCAATCCCTAGAAGAGTATGTTTGATAGTAGATATGTGGAAATCCAGGGTAGGTGATGAGTATTTGACTATGTTAGCACATTTTGTTGATAGTTCTTGGAAATTGCAAAAAAGGATTTTGCATTTTCGTTGTATCCCTCCTCCATATACGGGTTTAGCAATTTATGATGCTATTATATCTTGTTTGTCTGAATGGGAGATTGAGAATAAAATCTTTTCCATTATTTTGGATAATTGCAGCATGAATGATGTCGTGAAAAATACTTTGAAGTGTCACTTATTAAATAAATATGATCTTGTGTATGATAGTAAATTCTTTAATGTTCGTTGTTGTGCACATATATTAAATCTCATTGTTCAAACTAGAGTAAATGAGTTGATGGATATTATTTCCAAGATAAGAGATAGCATTAGATAAAGATTTTAGGTCCAAGAAAGAAGAAATTTGATGACATTATTGCACAATTGTGTTTAGATTCAAAGAGACATATTCACTTGGATTTCTACAAGATGGAACTTAACTTACTACATAGTTCAGTCTGCTGTGTATTTTAAACAAGCATTTTCTTACATGGCATCTCGTGACTCAAATTTTCAGTTTGTTCCATTTGAAGATGAATGGTCTAAAGCAGAGCTTTTGTGTGATTTTTTGAAGGTATTTAATGACTCTACCAATCTCTTTTCTGTATCTAAATACCCAATTACCAATTTATATTTTCGATCTTTATATAACATACACATGTGTTTGAGGAAGACTTCTAGATCATATTCATTCCTGGCTGACATGGTCAAACCAATGTTAAAAAAATTTGAGAAGTATTGGGATAATTATAGTTTAATCTTGTCAAATGTTGTTATTGTAGATCTTTATTCCAAAGTAAAATTGGTAGAGTATTGCTTTTACAAAATTTATGATTGAAGTGATGATACACATTTGGATAAGGTTATGGATGCTTTGTATACTTTGTTTAGAGAATATACAACTCTCACAAGTTTAACTCATAATGTTACTGAAAGTAGTAATGTTGGAACTAGTAATGGTGGTGAAAGAAGGATGGGGATTGTAATTTGTAGATGAAGAAGAGTACTTGAATTTTGAGAGTCATAGGTTTAGAGTGCAATCAAAGAAATCGATCTTGGATATTTACTTAGAGGATCCAGTGCATAATATGATAGAAGAAATGGATGTTTTGGAATGGTGGAAAGCGGGTGCGTTAAGATATTAAGAACTTGCAATATTGGCATGCTATGTTTTGTTTATTCCAATTACAACCATAGCTTCAGAGTCTGCATTTAGTACTAGAGGAAGAGTGGTGGAACAATATCGGGCTTCACTTAAAACAAAAACCGTTCAAGCATTGATTTGTCTCCAAGATTGGCTACACGAACAACAATCTCAATGTAATTAAATTTTAAATTTTCTAATAAGTATTTATTTTCTTTTAAAGCATTAATTAATATTTAGTTTTAATTATTATCTTTTGTAGATGTTCATGAAGAAAAAGATGAATCTTCTAGTGATGAAGACTCCATTGATGAAGATAAATCTGAAGTTTAGAGTGGTTGCAAGTTTTGGGTAAAATTGAAACCATTTTCAATATTTTATTACTTATTTATTTACATTAATTTGAACTATTTTTTCTTAATTTTCTAATATTTTTTTTATTTCACTTTTTATTTCTAGGAGTTGAATGAAAGATGGAGCCCCTTATAGAGATGTTTAAGGTTGTTTTATGGATATTTCATGATAATGGATGAATATTTTTTGATAGATATTATAGGTTATAGGTTGATTTTTTGTTGATAGAAAAATTAGTTTGTTAAAATTATCATTTTTAACATAACAATGACCAATTGAAACTTATAAATTACAAGGTATAATTATTTAATTTCTTTTATGTTAGAAACTTTTATTTTGATATTAAGTTTAAAGTTTCTTACAAGCATGGAATCTTTTATGTTAGGCCTGGAATGTTGGCCCAACCTGGCTTGGGCCCATGTAGGGCCAGGCCCATGCTTATATTTTTAGGCTCATAATGTAGGCCGGGGCCTAGCCTAAGCCCATTGTTATGAAGGAAAAGCTTGGCCCAGGCCCGACCCATGATCACCCCTATTTAATGCCACAAGGAACTTTGATGCCATGAGGGACTTTGATACTGATTTGATTCAAATGAAGGATTTTTGACTAAAACTTGATGATGCAATGATCTTTAGCTGAAACAGTAATGATTTTTGTATCTAGGATATGTTATGTTATGATGCAAAGCAACAAAACATTGATATTCTACTACGAGGGGCTTTGGTGCCATGAAGGGCTTTACTGACATAATAGACTTTAATGCCACAAGGGACTTTGACACCACGAGAGACATTGAAACAAATTTGGTGATCAAACATTGATTTCTATATCATAGTGCATGACATGATATGACTGTTTGGAAGCTGGATGATTTTAAAAAGCATGGTAAATGGGTAAGGACCCTTTTCTTCTTTTCCTATAATGGTTGGTCATTTTGAGACATTTAGGCTGGAGCAGAGGATAATGTGTATGATACCGGCTGGGAAGAGGTTGATAAGGATTAGGTGGATGGTCATAACTTACTTCCGACAAAATAACGACACTTAAAAGAGCCTACTTACCGTTAATTTGGTGTGAGATATGCGTCTTAGAAAATATTAGATGCCAATTGGAAATTCACTTCAGAAAATGTTCGAGCAAGAGGTAGTCGCCCCCTCACCCTCCAGTCCAACCCCCTTTTGGATGCAGGAGACTGAGTAAAAGGATAGGAAACCTTATCCCTTTTCTGGTAGAACCCCCACCTTCAGACTTAGCCGGTTGGTCTGAAGGGTTGAAGGAGTACCCCAAACCCTTCCAAATTTCCAAAAATCACAGTAGTCTACAAACTCACAAAAATACGACTAGAAAGAAAAGACAGAACATACATAAGAAAAAACGAGAAAAACAAACTAATAACAAAAACTGACCTAGAAGACAAGCATCCAATAAATGAGCAAAACTTGAATCTAAAGAACCGAATATGAGGTAAGTGTATTACCTCAATGTGACCTTAGAGCGACCAAACAATGCTGCTATCGGCATTGGTTGGGCTAGCAAACCCCAAAGCTGTTTTGAATAATTTTACTAGAATAGAACTTTGAGATGAATATCTCCAGTAGAGTATACTACAGCTGGTTCAGGTGGGGAATCTGAATATGTGCCGAATCAAAGGGACGAAATGCACTCCACCGCCACTCTTCCACCCTCTTTAGAGGGGATGATGGATCAGGAACCAATGGCGGGAAAGGAAGGCCGCCATTCTGCTCTTCGTCTCAGGGAAGGAGACGATGAATAGTAAACTTTCGATGACTTCTCAAAAAAAAAAAAAAAACTTCTCCTCCCTCTCTCTCAAATTCCTCTGTTCTCACCTGACCCCTTTCTACCTTGCGCTCTCTCTCTCTCTCTCTTTCTCAAAAAAATGGGAGAGCTCTTTCTCCCTTGAATTTCTCTCTTGAAGCTCTCGGCTCTTGCCCAACTCTCAAATTCGATAGTTTCTTAGAGAGAGCTCCCTTTTCCAAACTCCTCTCCGCCCCTCCTCTCTTCTTTCTCTCTATTGTTTTTCTCTCTGTTTTCTTCTCTCACCCGAACTCCCTTTCACCATCTCACCTTCTCAACTCGAGGGTTTTCACATACCCTCGAGGTGCTTTCCCCCTCCACTATCCTCCTCTTCCTTAGAACAAGTGCCCCTTATTTATTGGAGAGGAAATGGTGGCTTTTGCAAAACCCTAAAAAAAGGGATTTGAAAAGTTGGGGTTTAGAGGAGGTAAACTTGTCCTTATTAGACATGTTCTTGAGAGTTTTCCTATCCACATTCTCATAGCTATTGCTACTACACTAAGGCCCCGTTCGTTTTTCGGTAAGTTACTTACTCGAGTAAATGTAGATACCCAGGTAAGTTTTTCTTGGGAAACACTTACCCAGGTAAGTGTATTTACCCATGTTCTTTTAATTTCCAAATAAAAAATAAAATAACAATTTTAGCCATAAAAATCCATTATTAAATGGGGCATTTTGTCCCATTTAAATGTTGAAATCTTTCCCCCCAGGTGGGGAAGTTATTTACCCACCTAGGAGATGGGTCTTACCCAGGTAAGTGATACCTAGCAAAATAAACATTCCTTGGTCCCCACATTAATATGAAAAAAGAACATGGTATTCTCGGTCAATAGGAACCAAAATCCCATTGACCAACTTTCCCCCCTCTCAAAATCCAAAAAAAAAAAAAAAAAAAACTGCCCCCTAAAGGGTATTCTAAGAAGGTTAGAGTGGATTTTTTCCAACTTTTTTTAGTTGATTGTAAACAAGAAAGTCATCATGCTTGGGTGGCCTGGAGCAAGATCACGCTTCCCTTATGGTGAAGGGGGACTGCAAATCCGAAGTATTTATGAGGTTCATCAAGATCTTCGTTTGAAATCTCTTCGGAGAGCTTTATTTACTCCATCTCTTTGATCTTCTTTTGTTAAAGCAAAGTATTTAGAAAATCAGCATTTCTACATATCTTTGTGCCCTATGATAGCAACCCAAACTTGGAAAGCTAATTTTCAGTTGGTTGAAGACTTGTTGAAGGAAACGTTAAGTTTTGGCTTGACAAATGTATGGAGTGTGGTCCGCTAATACATATGTATTTAGTGGATATACTAATGTCAAGATCAAGGATCTGCTTGATGAAAATGGAGTTTGGCACCTTGATGAAATCTGTTTACATGAAAATCTTCTGGAAAAAATCAAATCAACAAAGATCCAGCTGAGGACTGAAAAAGACAAAACTATTTGGATGGATAGTAGTGACAGTGGCTTTTCAACCAAAACTGCTTGGAATCGGTTGAGAACTTCAGCACCTCAGGTGGACTGGTTTAAAGCTGTATGGAACAAAAATATTCCAAACCAAAATTTCTTTCTTTGTTTGGAAGCTGATGAAATCCAAAGTGGGAGTTGATAGTGATTTGAAACAGTTGGGTATTCAGATGGCCTAAAAATGTTTTTGTTGTAAGGACCCTTCGATAGAAACCAAGGATCATTTATTTATTCAAAGTTGTATGGCAAGGAAAACCTAGTATTATTTTAGCTCTGTTGGGAATCACTTTTTTTCCATCATGAACCTATTTGGTGGCTAACTATGCATGGTAATGGGAAAAAGAGCTCGCATCGTCTGTCCCCTAGGGACAGAAAATTTTCTGTCCCATCCAATAGAAAATTGCCACATCACCTTTTACATTTGAAACTTAAATTTAGTGGAAGTTGAGACTTAACGGTTGGACTCCTACATTTATTTTAACTAGCAGGGACCCGTGCGATGCATGGGATTTATCAAGAAGAGTGAAATAACCAATACTTATAACTAAGGAAAGAATGCAATGTTGTTTAAAATAATTAAATCTTTATTTTAATAATTTATTACAAAAATGTTCTAGTAATTTATTAATTTGGATTAATTATATTATTATTTTTTAGCAAAAAATAATAATTATTGCTAATTACTTATTTGTTAGTGTTCTGTTTTATTTATTTTACTTTATTAATGATTAAATGTTTCAATTTTTTGTAAATATCACTTAAATTTAAAATAATTGAATATCAGTAAATATATAAAATTAGGCTATAATCATAATTAATTAAATTAATATATAGTTAACTTTTTTAGTCATTAACTAACTTAATCTAAGCCCAAACTTAAGGTTTTAGACTTTCAATTAGGCTTGGATTGATACTCATCCTGACCCAACCGACCCAAGTTGCATGCATCGTAACATTCGTAATTGGACTAGACCAAGGTCACCAAACCAAGTGCAACCCATGCATGCATTATTTTTAGTTTTTTTTTTAACTATTTTTAGATAATATTGAAGCCAAATGAACTATGAGGGATGGGCCACCCATATTGTGTAGCCCGATTAACCAAAAAATTAAAAATTTTTAGCTAAATTTGATAGCGTATCAGTAATTTTTAAGATTGTTTGGCCTAGCCTAGCCTGCACCTCAAGTGTTATAATATTTGTATAGGTTCGCAGGATTACGTGTTAATTATAAAATTATGATTGCTTTACAAATTAAAATTTTTATTTAATTCTAGTATAGTATAAAAATATATAACATTTCTATATATTAATATAAAATTTATTATCTAAATATTATATAATAATATTTATCATATATGCATATAGCTTCCAAGTTGAGCTTATTAGGGGTTGTTTAGCTTGGGCCCTACGCGTTAAAGCTATCATTGGACTCCAAAAGTTTAATACCCAATTAGACTTTGAAATTGATTATCCTTATAATGTGTGGGCTTGGTGCATATTTCAGCTAGACCTAACTCAAAAGAAAATAACTACTTGAGCCTGGAAATTTATATATCTAATCGGGTTAAGTTATAAACAACTTGTTACTTTTTTTTATTAATTTTAATTATCCTATCAATACTAATTTTTAATATTTGCTAGATGAAACCTGGGGTGAGCATTTGGTTTATTTGGTTAAAAATTGAACCAAATGAATCTAAATTTTAAAAACAAAACTAAAAAATAAAAATCAAAACCAAAACCGAAATAATCGGAACTAAAATTTTTGGTTCCATTTTTGGTTATTTCAGTTAAAATCAAATTTTAATAACATATACTCTATTATCATCCCTAAGTAGGAGTCTTATGATATTAAGCAAATGGTTTAATTTTTATTTTTCATAATATTTTACTTTTTATATTTATTTTAATTATCCTATTAAATTATATTTCAGTTTTTTAATTTATAAACTACTAATTAACGTTTATTAATTTCATAAGTTTTAATTAATTGCTAGATAAAAACTTGCTAAACTTTAATATTTTTATTAACTTTAGTAATTTTATTACTTATAATTATTGAGCTTCAAATTATATATAGATTGCATGTTATAGGTTTCTAGACGTATCCATACAGTTTTAATATTGTATTTATTAATAAATAAAATATTTTAATAAAGACAATTAATTATTTAAAAAATACTATAATTATTATTAATACTGTAATAAAAACTATTTTGAATAAATAATTTATTTATTAAAATATTGTAAGTATTAAGATATTGTAATTATTAAAAATACTGTAATTATGAAAATACTGTATTTATTGAATATATTGATAATTAATTAATAAATACTGTAATTAACTAAATACTATTAATTATTAAATAATGTATTTGTTAAAATATTGTTAATTATTAGAAGTAATATAATTATTAATTTATAGTTAATTAATAAATACTATTGATTAATTAATAAATACATTATTTATTAATGCAATTATTAATACTATTTTTAAGAAAAATTGAATTTATTAAAATACTATTAATTATTAAAATATTGTAATTATTAAATTACTGTATTTATTTAAAATACAGTAATTTCTAGAAATTATCATATTTTCAACAATATTGCTAATTTCTTGGTTAAAACTAATTAAATGTAATTTTTTTGTAATTAAATATAACTTTTTTGGTAATTAAATGTAATTTTATGCTATTTATAGCTTAAATTATAATTACTATTAATTATAGTTTAAAAATAATTATTGTTAATTATATTACTATTAATTATTAAAATACAGTATTTTGTCATTATTATTCAGTGTTTTTTCAATAAAATACAATTAATTTAATTTTCTTAATTATTTTTAGTATTTTAATTAAGTTTTAGATTTTTTAGAATTTTGCATATTAGTATTTTTCAATAATTTTTAGTATTTTCATCATTTATTTTTGCATATTATTCCCTACAAAATTAATTTGCATTTGCTTTCAATAAAAATAAAATAAGTACCATAGTTAATAGTTAGTTTTCAATATTTTTCAATAATTTCTGGCTTGGGTATTTTTAATAATAAAATACTATTTGATGAGGGCAGATTTGGCCCTCCACTGATATCATGACATGTGACATCTCAAAAATAGCTGGATGATACTCGACTCCACGTAGGTGATGACTTGCCTTAGCCAAAATGATGGAGACCTGAAGACCTACCTCCAGAGACGTGCTAGAGACCTAGAGACCTACCTTCGGAGACACATGGCATCCAAATTACACCTCGGCACCCAATCAACGAGATAATTCAATAAAATTATCTCGGAGCATCTCACCCAGGCCAACCTCTACTTTGGCGAGACCGAATTAGTTGACTCCGTACGATTACGATGAGCTATCCTAGGAGTTGGTCGAGGTGTAGGGACTTAAGGCGACCTGCTAAGGAGAGCTCGCTAACCACCCCCTGCAGTTCCTAGTACAACTCGACTTTGCCGAGCTAGTATACTCGTAAGATTATGATGAGTTTTCCTAGGGGTCAACTGAGCTGAGAAGACCTAAGGCGACCTGCAAGGAAGAGCTCGCTAACCGTCCCCAGCAGCTCACTACCAAAGGTGCCGATAGTGCGACCGTTCGAGCGGCTCATCGTGTTGCAAGCTAGATTCTATGCGAACAAATCGTAACTCTTGCGAAAATCTCTCAACTGACACTTTAATGCACCTAAAAATAAGGAAACAACTCCACAAAGAGCTCAAGATTGTTACCCTGAGTCCCTAGAGTCCAGGGACCTATATAAGACGTCTAGATCCACCCAGAAAGGTATGCACACTGATACCCTCAAAACTCCCTTATGTTCTTAGAGATTACTCCTACACACTCATTGAATTAAGCATTGGAGTGCCCTCCTCGAGTAAAAACTACCTGG